GCAATGGGCTGAGCCCTTTTCTTTTCATCATAGCCACAAAAATAGTTAGAATACTAATGTCACAAATGGCTTCTCAATTCCAACATGAGTAAAATGCATTAACCATTTTCTTTAAGTAGGGCAATGAAGATAGTCAAAAGACAATCAATTTATTTCTAAAATCAGCATTCTAAAGATCAAAGAATTTAAATGAGGGTATTATATTTACACAAGAATTATATATATATGTATCACATTTAATTGCATTTAAGCTCTCTAGCATTTACTTATCATTACTCTATTCTTATCTTCGACCTTTGATAATTAGTATATATTATCTCTGATGACGATTTTTTCTCCAACAATTCTTTGGCATGCTAGATGTACACTGCAACTGTACATTTTTGTTGACATTTGATATAGTGTTAAAAGATGATTGGAATGAAAATTGTTTATTTTTTTTAAAATTATCCAATAGTGTGTAGTCACGTGACATAAAAGATAATGTACATGTAGCATGATTGAAAAATATATAGTTGCAGTTTTGTATTTTTTTTGGTTATTAAAAATAAGTGGGAGTGAATAAATCTTGAATCATGCTATAGGTACACATTTTTTTTCAAGGAAATTTTAACAGACAATACTTGGCATAATAGCATTGGAAGATGGGGTAGGAAAAATAAAATAAAAATAGGCCATTCAGATTTGCCCACGTCAACATCGATATCAATTCTATAGCGATTTTCCTGTATTTGGAGCTTTATTGATGAGTCTTTTACTCTCTCTTAACAAGATTTTTGGATAAAAACCGTCGTCAAGAACAAGATGGGTGGAAAAAGTCAATGACATAAATATTACTATATAATCAATAAAAGTTATGAATCTTTAATACAATTAAAATAGAATGCCCTCATAAACAAAACTGTATACCATTATCAATACAACCGCCCTTTAAATAATCGTAGTTAACTGTAATACGTTGGTTACTTGACTTTTTCGACCATGTCGGCTATGGTTAACAAAATTATATACTTGTGTATGCGTGTATGCAAAAATACGACAAACATTAGCATCCTTGAATTATTAATTAAGGCAAGTGGATGGGGACATTTTGGGATATTGATTGGTGCCTTTTAACGTAAAATAGGACAAAAATCATTGCATGGGAGTTCAATCGGGGTCAAGTCCTCGTAAAAATCAGTGTCTAAAATTACGGGAAAAATGACAAGAATCCAACCTGCTCGAGATTCTTCAACTGT